GTGTGTGGTTCTGCTCATGCTTCCTGAAAGTGTCCTGGATTTCAGCTTGGTCGTATTGACCTGCGTCGGTACCACTGCCCGAAGAATCTATCTCTGGGGCTGGACCTTGTTTCCTTGACTGTTCTCAGCTAGGGATGTGAGTATTATCTCTAGCTCCAACTTGATCCTTCAGAAAGTTACCTTCATCTCATGGTTTGTCCCAAAATAGAGTCAGCAAATTCTGCTTGGGAACTTTTTTTATGTCTTATTTCACAAACACCTGAAAGGAAATCCACTGTGGTCTCTGCACTGTGAAAATGGCAGTGAGTATACAAAAAAAGGTCTTTTAAAAGTTACCTGTGAAGAAAAATGAAGGAAGCCATATATAAAGGAGAGCTGGGGTTGAGGGAGGTTCTTTTTCCTTTTAATTTTAATCCATTAAGGATTAACATGTTCATATATTGAGACCCAACCAACTGAGAACAATTTAGTGAGACAGATTGAAAAAGGATAATTGATATGCAGTGCCCTTTCGGGAGGTGAGAGGAACGAGGATCCAGAGCATAAATGAGTGGAATTATCTCTGGATGAATCCAAGAATTGATACAGAAAGATTAGTGTGCAAATAAATTGGTAACACAGGAAATGGGAAATTGAAAGCTTTCTTTTCACAGAGGAACTTGTAATTTGCTTACTGAAAATGATAGGTAGAAGTGGTATTTTCATGGTTCTTGAAGAAGGGCAAGTTTGAAATAAGTACCTTAGGGAATGTATGAAGGAAAAACTAGTTGGCTTTTCCATAAATGTAGGAAGTGATGGATCATGGAATTAACCTGCTTTGGGAGAAAATGGTGGGGATCAAGAAACTGGAAGTTTTATTGAGGTCAAGACCATGGTGGTCTGGGAATAGGACAAGTGAAAAGAGATAATGGAGGTCAGAATAGGGTCGTGGGGATTATGATACTTGAGGTGGAACAGTTTTTAGATGATAAGATTTAGATATGGTCATGAAGGCTGTGGTTGAGAAAAGGGGAAGTAAAAGCTGGTGGTGGTGGTGGGGAGGCTAAAGACTGGATGGCAAGGCATGGGATGGGAGAGGAGTCAACACAAGGTGCTGGTGACGTAAGTGAGAAGTTTGATAGTATTAGCCTCAAAGGATAATGGGATTTTAGATGATGATGGAGATAAGTACTATGGGAATAAAAATGAAGAGTTAAGATAGAACAGAATTCAAATTTCAGCCATAGAACCATGGTCAACTGAAAGAATTTCCCTAAGCCTCCGTTCTCTCCTCAATAAAAAGAGGCTAGTACATACCTCTAGTGGGTTATTAGTGATGATTAATGAAAGTGCTTATAAATGTTTAGCACCGTGCCTGGCCCAAGAACTTAACTGTTAAGATGACAGGAATACTAAATCTTTGTGAAAATATGTAGGAAGAATTGTGGGAAGAATGAGGATGGTTTTTAGAGCAGGTTTGGGATGAAAATGGGAAGAAATGTGAGCAACTTGGATTTGGTTTGGGGAAAATTCCAAAGGTTGCCTGACCTTTAGATTTGGAATGGAATTCTGACACTTGGGTCTTAACTCTACCTCTTAGTAGCCTCGGATTTGTTTTGGTAGTGGTTTCTTTATTTCTTTCCCCTCTGTCAAGTCTGTATTTATGTAGCCAAATACACAACAAATGCACAAAATTAAGTGAACAAATTAAAAAAATTCTAAGAATGAGGGATGTTCCCTTTTTTCCATTAACTTATTTTTATGGCAGAAATTTTATGAATATTTCAATTTAGTCTTACAAAAATTTGATTTTTGAAACAATCAGACTTATAGAAGGGTTGCAAAAAGAGCACTGACAATTCTTTGATACCCTTCACCCAACTTCCTCAAATGTCAACATTTTCTGTAACTTGAATGCATTTATTAAAACTGAGACATTAACAGTGGTACAATACTAAATTACATTACTGAGGTTTTGCCAGTTTTTCTACTCATGCTTTTTCTCTTCTAGGATCCAATCCAGGATCACACCCTGAGTTCAGATTTACATGTATCCTTAGTCTCCTCCAATCAGTGACATTACCTTATCTTTCATGACCTTGATACTCGAGAAGAATCCTTATGTTGTAGAGTGCCCCTCAATTAAGGTTTCTTTCCTGCAGTATTTTCTGCTTCTAAAATCTATCCTTAGTTCCAGTCAGATTTGTGCAGTAAAATAGCACAGTGGTTCAGTTAAGGTATAGTTTTTAATTAGAAAGTAATTAACTAAAGGAAAATTAGTTCTTGATGTTGCAACTCCCAGTTTCCCCAGGCAAAACTGTTTCAACATGTATATGACGGTAGCACTATAAATGAGTTAATTTATAATGTATATTAAGATATTAATAGAACATTAATCACAATACTCTTCTAAGTTTTGATGTGATGACTGCTTAAGTATTTTTGAGATCTATTCAGCTAAATAGCCAACTAATAAATATCTATAAGTGGGAAAACTATCTCCTATCCACTAAATATTAGCCTCATTCAAATTACTCATCGTCTTTTGCAATTACGTTTATGTATTTCCTGTTCAGTCTTTGATTTACAATTTTTAATGAATTACATACAAATATCTCAGCACATTGATACATTGAAGTAAACCCCATTTCAGGGTTTTCTTAAAATCTGTACCTGCAGTAACATTTTGTACCTATGCAGTGTAGTAGACGTCCCAACCTCTGTTTGAATGGAAGAATTGGTTAATACAGTGGTTTCTATTGCCTGTTGAGGCCATATATATGAGTTTCTGTATTATATATGAGTTCGGCTTAGAAATAAACCTTATTATACAGTAAGTTATTTTCAAAAGGTATAGTGGGTACTGTTGGTGCCCCTACAAGACTGCCTTTACCAGGCTGCTGCATGCAAACCCCAGGTGATAGGTATTGGTTCCTGGCAGCTCACAGCTGCCCTATCTGGAGATTAGGCCTCTGGGAGCTAGGATCCTGTAGCTAATTGGCTGACTGATTTGGAGGTGTCCAAGTGCCCTCTCCCTCTAGGTGTACTGCTAGCAGTGCAATTCAGGCTGAATTAGTACTCTGGCTGAGGCAACATTCTCCAGTGTCTCTCTCCCCTGCTCTGTCTTGTGTGTGTGTTTTTTTTTTTTTTTTTTTTTTTTTTTTCTTCTTTCATTCCTTTTCCTGAGTGTATCCCCTCCCTTAGTCTTCTGCACTAGAATCTCTGTCCCATACTCTACCTCTAGGGAACCTAAGACAGTAGAGATACTATATGATCATTTTGAGCATGTGTAAACTGAGTAACATAAAAATTGATGACTTGCTTTCAAGGGACATATCTAATTACCTGGAAACTGCACTAGACTGGGAATCTGGGCTCCAGTTTTTTGAGTTTCGAATAGCCAGCCATTCCTGAAAAGTCATCTGATTTCTTTCTTTTCTTTTCTTTTTTCTTTTTTTTTTTTTTTTAAAGAGTTTATTTATTCATTTGCGAGAGAGACAGAACAAGCAGGGGGAGAGGGAGAAGCAAACTCCCTGCTGAGCGAGGAGCTCGATGCGGGACTCGATCCCAGGACCCTGGGATCATGACCTGAGCCGAAGGCAGAGGCTTAACCATCTGAGCCACCCAGGCGCCCAAGGACAGTTTCTTATTGGGTAGGATTAAGAATGCCTAGCACACCTTAATAAATGCTGGGAGCATCATCTCAGTCATTGACAACCAAAATATCCCAAGACAATTTTAAAATCCTAAGTGGTATTAAGGCCTATTGAGAGTTCCTGGCTTAAAAAAAAAGAGGGGGGCGGGAACAAAACAAACCATTATTCACAGAATAGGATATTTCTAACCTGAACAGCCAGGAGTGACATTACTAATTACTACCTTTTATTAGTATCAAGTGGAACAACTTCTAAAATCTTAAATATTTATATCAAGGTAAAATGAAGGAAATTTTGACTTTTAAGTGCTTGAAGGGATTAGTAGTCAAAAACTGAGTCAGCTAAAGACATAAACTACAGTGTCTGATGAATTGTAGCACTCTTATAAAACTTAGAATAAATGTAACCTGCTGGGCTCCACAGGTGATCCAAAGTTCTGATTTTTATACACCTGTTTCTGAGTAGCTATGGAGTTGGTATACATTGAAGTGTGTTATATTGCATCTCACAAATGACCGAGGGCTAATATTTGAGGAAATCCATTTGAGCTGCCCTTCAGTCATTTTTGTCTCCCCTGTAGGCTCCTTTTCCTTTGCCAGAGCAGCCTCTAAACAAAGCAACTTAACTGGTAGCAATTTCCACATTTAATTTCCACATGACTTGTATCTTTAGTGAGAATGAGACCTGTAGCAAGATCTAGGTTACTTAAACCTTTATTTTGATTGGTGCTGTTGAGCAATGTTAGATTTTTGGGTGGTACCTCTTTTTATGAGTGCAACTTTTAGGTGATATAGAACACAGAATAAGTAGCTAAAGGATATTTTTGATAAGGGTAGAGAAGAGACAACTATAGAATGCTTTGCCTTTTGCTAGGATCTGTGTCAGGTATTTGATCATATGAGCTTGTAGCTACACCGTCTGGAAAGTGGTTGGCTTACTTACCTTTTAATTTTTACGATACATGGAGCAGCTCTTTCAGAAATAGCGCAAGATAGCTTCAGTTACAGCTGTTGGTTAAAAAAAAAAAACTTGAGCGGGGTGTGTGTGTATTGTGAATCTGGATGACCTTATGAAAGGTAGAAATCTTAAGTGTCTAATTATCTGTAGTGATGAGAATGTAATTTTACTAGCCCGCTGTGATTTTAAAAAGATTTTCTGGTAAATGTTTTACCTGTTAAAATGATCTAGAACATGTTTTTGTCTATATCTCCTGCTCTTTCTTTTCTCCAGGCAGAACTACACGTAAATCATTCCGAAACAATTAATGCTGCTTTAGTCAAATTATTGATTTTTCTGTTCCTAGGGTATGTAGAATTGCTGCTCTACTTAGATTCTAAAATGAGGCTTTTTAATTTTGTTTTCCAGGAAGATATGAATTTAAATGAAGATAAGAAGGCACCATTGCGGGAAAAGGACTTCAGCATCAAAAAAGAAATGGTGATGCAGTACATTAATACTGCTTCCAAGACAGTAAGTAAAACTGTCAAGTTGAAAAATACTGCTGAACTGTGTGTGATAGTGTGGAAAACAACACATTTGTCTATGGAAGTGCTTGTTTTGGGGCAACTGGAATCACAGGGCTTTTGAATGTATAAAGTCCACAAGTAGGATGTTTACTTAATTTAAAAATATTTCTCATACCTTCTAAAACTGCTTTTGCTTTTTAGCCCCTGACATTGATGAGGAACACGGACTGTGTTGGTTTCCTCCAAGACTTCTTTCCTTGTTAGTGAATTAAGATGGCTATTGATCTCTGATGTCACTTATAAATTGGGATAATATTGGTATTACAGAAAAGTAAAACTGATTTTACTCTAATCAGTCCACATAATAGGGGCTGAGAGGCATATCTTTACTGTGAGTTTCCCTATGGATAAAATTATCTAGTAACAAATTATAAATGTAGATGTTGAAAGGAGCAGTAGGCCTCCACGTGGCTGCCAGTTTTCCAAAGAAACATGAAATATGTGGGTGGAAGTAATGAGTTAGATGTCTAAGAAACCGTGACTGGCACACACAATCAATTACATTTATTTCATGGGACAACAGATGCGCTTGACCAGTCCTATAGAATTTGAACTGATGGATTGGATGAAATCTACAAAATGGGAGCTAATGAAGAAGCAATCAGAAAGACAGTTGAAAATGAACTTAGAATTGGGTTGGAGAAAAACAACTAATACACTGCGGTTTTCACTGGAAACTTTAAAGACTGAGATGTACGAAAATGTAAGTTACTTATACTTAAGCTCCAGTTATCTACTAGAACAGTCAGTGACTTGGAGGCTTTTCTTGTGGAAGACAGACTCAAGTGATGTTTAATTTTTAAACATGCCTCATGTTAGGAAGTTTGATGTTGACTTTTAGAAGTCACTGAGTACTGTACTTTTTCTGGCTCCTTATGTAGATGGGCTTTTCTGCTATTGCTTTTCGACCCTTAATGCTCCTTGGATATCACAAATGAGCATTAGGGACTTAAGAGTCAGAGTGTTGTGGATCAACTTATCCCTTTGATATTGAGCATCTTATTTTACCTTTCTGATTCTCAATGTCCTTGTCCATAAGATGGGACTAATATTTATATCATAGGCTTGTTGTTAGAATTTAATTGTTTATGGAGCACCTGGCTGGCTCAGATGGTTAAGTGTCTGCCTTTGGCTCAGGTCATGATCTGGGGTCCTGGGATCGAGTCCCATGGGCTCCCTGCTGAGCTGCTTGTCCCTCTCTGCCCACCCCTTCCCACCCCCCTGCTCCTGGCTCATGCTCTCTTTCTCTCAAGTAAATAAAATACTAAAATAATTTATTTCATGAGGGGCATAACAGGTTTTCTAACTGGTGGTTGCCTCTTGTGGTAGCAGTGGTGGTTGTTAGCAATTGTTTATTTTTTCTTTGTGATTTGTTCCTGCTGTTGAAATCTTTACACCGTAATTACTGATGAACATTGACTTATATTTTTGAAGATACGAATTGACCATTAGTCTCTATCACATTTATTCAGTGTCTGTATATCGGGCAATGTTATAGGCAATGGAGTTGGAGCACCAGGACGGTCAATCATTGTGGCTTATGGAGCAACATAGGACACATGTAACAGAAACACACAAACATATGTGATAGGTGAAATGTGATGTGGAAGAAACATAGGGGGCGTGGAGACGGTATAATTGTTTTCCTTTTTTAGTGAAGTATTGTTAACATGCAGTGTTACGTTAGTTTCAGATGTACGATAGGATTCACTAGTTCTCAACATTACCCAGTGTACTCCTAATCCCCTTTATTTTACCTGTGTCCCTACCCCCTCCCTGTGATGTAACCGTTGCAAGGAGTAATCAGGGATGACTCCCCTGTTAGAGAATTTTAAATCCAACGAGATGAATTCACTTAATAAAATTACAAGAGATACTGCGTTAGTTAGAACTGGTTTAGAAAACGTTGGCATAATAGTGTATTTTAATTCTTGAATTTCAGATAATAAACAGACTTTTTAATAGAACAAACTGCTTTGAACTTCATTAGAGTGGATCTATTTCAGTTTGCATTCACTGAATTTAAGCTTTAATCCTCTAATCGTTTTGGACTGAGGTTGGAATTTATTTACTAGAATTAGATAATTAGATTATCAGGATTGAAATAGATTAGTTATCTAAAGTATGATTAAAGCCTTTACTCATTTAATTAGTGTGTAGAGGATCATGGCTTTTCCTAGGAGGGTGCTGAATAATTTGGCAGATGGTTAACATTGCAGAAAGTTCAAGCTGACCAGTCATCTATTTTTGCTCTGGAAGTAGAAACACCATTAAGTCTTAGATATAGACTTTGTCATACCAGTGTACTGAGGTTAATGAGTACAAAAAAAGGCTTCTCTAAGGAAAAAGCATCAAAACTCATAGATGGGTTGTTCTAGAGAGCATGGGGGTGTCTGTGTCAGAAAAACTTTTGTTATAAATTTAGCCTTAGACTTTGCTTTGAGATTCTCTTTTGTGGGGAAGCATTAATATTTTTTGAAATTAGCACTGATGACTGCAGTTGATAATTTGAAAATGCTTTAGAAATATTAACCCTCAAACCAAGCTGTAAAGTAGCTAAGCTGGTTTTTTGGAATAAGGAGGAAAAATAACAAATCATCAATCAAGCTAGGTTATTTCTAAGATCTTAAGTTTGTTTAGGTAGTCCAATAACAATGCTGATTTTTTTTTTTTTCAGGTAGAAAAGATTATTAACATTTTTTTTAAGCGAAGAGCCTAATCTAGAGGCTGAAAAATGCCAGAGTCCCATTTTCCCAACTTCCTACAGCATGGGTATGTGATCCAGGTTTAGCCAGTACTGTCTGCTAGGGGCTTCCGAGGAAGGTTTCCCTCCCTCATAAAAAGATCCAGAGCAGAAGACCACTTTTTTCCCCTGTTGTTTGACATGGTTGTGAGAGGGTGTGGGATGCTTGGCACATGACATCTTGGAGCTGCTGCTCTGGCCTTGTACAGTCCTGCCTCCAGATTCTTCCATCATATGAGGTGATGCATGTTCTTATTTAAGCTACTTGAAGTTGGATTTTGCTTTACTGTTGTGCACATCTGGCTGGACCCTCCTGATAGCCTCCCGCCTATGCAGGGTCTCTATTTCTAATTCACTCTGAAAATTACTCCCCTCATCAAGTATACTCCGCGTACATGAGAGTGGGTACTGCAAGGCCAAGTGGCCATTCGTTACCTCAAATGCTCCTGGAGGTCTGCTAGCTTCCTTGGACTTTGTTGTCAGCTTTTGTCTATCCTAGTCATTCGAGACCACAGACAACTGACTGCAAGGCTTCTCTGAGGCATTATTGGAAGAGTTTGGTTAGTGTTGGACTATACTCCTTCAACCCTTAAGTATTTCGGTAGTTCTTTGACTTCTTTAGTAAGAAATAAATACCAAATATTGGAACCTTAAAAGGCACATAGAAAGTTTAACAAGTTTTTTAAACAATGTGATAAAATGAGTCTACATGGAGTTTGTAGGATTGTAGGTTCTCGTGTGTATGTGTACACGTGTATATATAGTGTATTTTGAAAGGTGTTACCAGGTACCTCTTGTCCTAGCCCAGTAGGGCATGATGATCAAGTATGGAGGACGTGATTTTGTCCAGTGTCGTCCATCTAGGCATATCCTGATCAGGAAAGAATTGTTTTGGGAAAATACTAATGATGTTCAGATTTGTATATTTTTCCCTAGGTAGAAAACCTAGAGCTCATTTCTTTTAGCCCTGATTCGTTAAAATTGTATTATTAGTGGGGGCATTTTCATACCTTTCAGAGTCCTTTTTTTTGGAGGGTGTTCATTTTCATCTGTTAATTTTGGAAAACATTGTCAGATACATATAAATCAAGTTCTTGTTGTCTCTCACTTTTTGTCATTGTTATTACTTAAAAGGTTTATATTTTAACGACTAGAAACTTAGCTGAACCAGACAGCTTTATACATTCTTGCTAAAGTTAACATGGATTATTTTTTGGCTTCTATTTCAGGTTAGGGATTTGATCCAAGCACACTTGTAACATAAAACCTTAGTAAAAATTTGTGGCTGGTACTGGGTATTAGACGCTCAACAATGCCCTTGCTTACGGTATTTTGTCAGTCTGTCTCCAGGTCTTGCTTGCTGACTAGGAGGAAATATCAGAGCCCCAGGGCAATGAACCAATTTCTGGTTAGGAGTATTTCTTAATAATCTAACTGGCACTTTAATTTCCGTTTCTGCCTATATAGGACAGGTTTTATTTGCAATTAAAATGATCTTCCAACAGCTCAGATTCATCCAGCTTCATTGTGAGTTGTTTCAGGGTGGTATCAGTGGTGGGTAACGTGCTCCTGCTATTGCGCTGTGTTCTGACTTAGGAGATGAAAATGAAGAAACCAGTTGTCTTTTTTCCTATAATAGGTTCAAATTAGAATTGTATGTTTTTGGTCTTTTAGAAACCTTAGGGGCGCCTGGGTGGCTCAGTCGGTTAAGCGTCTGCCTTCGGCTCAGGTCATGATCTCAGGGTCCTGGGATCAAGCCCTGCATAGGGCTCCTTGCTCAGCGCGGGGTAGTCTGCTCTTCCCTCTTGCGCACACCCACCCCCTCTCCGCTGGCATGCACACTCTCTTACTCACAAATGAAATCTTAAAAAAAAAAAAACAAACAAAACACTTTAAAGATAACTTTTCTTAAAGCAATTTTTTAAAGGACTCACCAGATAAAGAAATAATGTTATTTACTGGTAAAACCTAGAATTTTAGAACCTGATGTGGTCCTTGATGCTTATACCAATTGTGGCATTGGAGATCATCTGAGGTGTTTTTATCTTTTTCACTGAGTTGTTGGTCTGAGATAATTTGCTCTGCTCATGCTTTTTGGATTTTGCAAATGTAATTAAACTTATCATGACTGATAACAGCAAAAGTGGTAAAAACTTTGAAAGTGCCAGAAAGAAGAGGCATGTGACTTGATGGAGATGAAA